GATGGTAATTGGTGAGTGATCTCTCCTGTCCTTATCTCGACCCACAAGCTCTTTGTTACATTCTCTCTCCCCTGTCCAGTTGAGGAGGGGGAGTGATAGAACGGCTTTGGTGGGCACCTGGCGTCCAGCCAGGGTTAACCCACCACAAGAAATTGTCAGGCTTCCCAGACCTTAGGTGCACTCTCTTCCCAATCTCACTCCATCAATGGGAGTCAGTGGGATCAGTGTCAGTCCCTCTCTATGATCTACCCCGGAGATCGGTCCTCCAGGAAAGAACTGTGGCTGGGACCACTGGCCACTATTACACCTGGGCTTCAAGTTTTCCAAAGAGGAGATAATGATCACAACTAAAGTTGTTCTACTCTGTATAAAACATTTGTATATTCAGAGCAAGAGGAACAATGACTGCTCATCTCTGCTTTATCAAATTTTTTGTTAGCTTTTAAGGTAAACACTGTCAATAGGACTCACTGAATAAGTCTAGACTGAGAAGCTGATAATTTAGAGCACTTTCCTGAAAAAAAGTAGGTCAAATCTATTCTAATAGGCTTCCTGCACTTGTGTACTGCACGTTTGGGAATCAACCCTTATCACCAGAATCATAGAATGAATCATAGAATGGTTTGCATTGGAAGGGACCTTAAAGATCATCTAGTTCCAACCCCCCTGCTATGGGCAGGGACACCAGGGATGGGGCATCCACAGCCTCTGTGCACAACCTGTTCCAGTGCCTCACCACCCTCGCAGTGAAGAACTTCTTCCTTACACCTAGTCTGAATATACCCTCTTTCAGTTTAAAGCCATTACCCCTTCTCCTATCAATACATGCCCTTGTAAAAAGTCCCTCCCTGGCTTTCTTGTAGGCCCCTTCTAGGTACTGGAAGGCTACCACAAAGTCTCACCAGAGCCTTCTCTTCTCCAGGCTGAACATACTATCAGGGCTTTAGCTTTCCTAACCTGATCCCTGGCTGCTCGGACAATTTCTCTGTATTCCTCCCAGGCTACCTGTTCTTGCTTCCACCCTCTATAGGCTTCCCTTTTGTGTGAGTTTGTCCAGGAGCTCCTTGTTCATCCATGCAGGCCTCCTGGCGTTTTTACCTGACTTCCTCTTTGTTGGAATGCATTGCTCCTGAGCTTGGAGGAGGGTTCCTTGAATATTAACCAGCTTTTTTGTGGCCCCTCTTCCCTCCAGGGCTTTATCCCATGGTACTCTAAGCAGCAGATCCCTGAAGAGGCCAAAGTCTGCTCTCCTGGTCATAGAATCGTTTAGTTTGGAAAAGACACTTAAGATCGAGTCCAGCCATCAACCATGCCCACTAAACCACATCCTGAAGTGCCCTGTCTACATGTTTTTTGAATACCTCCAGGGATGGTGACTCAACCACTTCCCTGGGCAGCCTGTTCCAATGCCTGACAACACTTTCGGGAAAGAAATTTTTCCTAATATCCAATCTAAACCTCCCCTGCCACAACTTCAGGTCATTTCCTCTCATCCTATCTCCAGCCACCTGACAGAAGAGACCAGCACCCACCTCACTACAACCTCCTTTCAGGTAGTTGTAGAGAGCAACAAGGTTTCCCCTCAGCCTTCTTTTCTCCAGACTAAACAACCCCAGTTCCCTCAGCCGCTCCTCCTAAGACTTGTGCTCCAGGCCCCAAGTCCAGGATAGCAAGCTTGCTGTGCACCCTCCTCTCTGCCTAAAGGAGCTTGAATTCCACCATTTCATGGTCGCTGCAGCCAAGGCGGCCCTTGAGCTTCACATTCCCCACCAGCCCCTCCTTGTTGGTGAGAACAAGGTCCAGCATAGCACCTCTCCTTGTTGGCTCCTCTATCACTTGGAGAAGTAAGTTGTCATCAATGCATTCCAGGAACCTCCTGGACTGTTTATGCCCTGCTGTGTTGTCCTTCCAACAGTTATCGGGGTGGATGAAGTCCCCCATGAGGACCAGGGCTTGTGAACGTGAGGCTGCTCCTACCTGTCTATGGAGGGCCTCATCTGCTTGGTCTTCCTAGTCAGGTGGCTTGTTGCAGACTCCCACTATGTCACCTGTCCCTGCCCTCCCTTTAATCCTGACCCATAAGCTCTCCATTGGCTCCTCATCCATTCCCAGGCAGAGCTCCATGCGCTCCAGCTGGTCACTGACATCAAGGGCAACACTCCCTCCTCATCTCCCCTGCCTGTCCTTCCTATATCCTTCCATTCCAACACTCCAGTCATAGGAGCCATCCCACCACATCTCTGTGATGCCAGTAAGATCATAGCCCTGCAGGCATGCACACATCTCTAACTCCTCTTGTTTATTCCCTGTGCTACGTGCATTTGCATAGAGGCATTTAAGCTGGGCCCCCAATAAAGCTGACTTACTGGCTGGAGTGGCTGGAATTCCTCTGTGCTGCTCTTCAGGGGCTCTCCTGCTGACCTGTGGTCCCTCTCCAGGCTCTGGGCACCTATTGCTCGCACTGGCATCAAAGTGGTAGCAGTGGGATGGACTGAGGTTCCACTGCCCCAGCAACTTTAGTTTAAAGCCCTCTTCACCAGTTTGGCAAGCCTATGACCAAAGATGGTCCTCCTCTTCTCTGACAGATGAGCCCCATCAGCCCCCAGCAGACTAGGTTTCTCAAAGCGAGTCCTATGGTCTAAGTAGAATATTTAATAAAAAAGAGTTTTGCCCTTTCTAAACCCAGATACAGAAATTTTCTGAAAAACTTAGGATTATGAGTTCACAATCTAAACTCATAAATGATTGAAACCACCGTGTTAATTTACCATAAGGGGCCTGGGGGGCCGGAGACACGACACCACCACCACCACATTCAGCTCTACTTACATATGCACAGACCTTTTTGCTTCCTCCAGAAGAAGAGGTGATCCAATAGCCCCATAATCATCCTCAGAATCCAAAGATGCGGCAGGACTTTTGCACAGTGCTTCAACATCTTTTAACATATTATTTGTTTCTCTTTCAGACACAGGAGTCTTTGGTTTTTCAGAATCAGCTACGTGATCATGTATTGCAGGCTTCAGAGGTGACCATCCTGCCATATATATAGAACAGGTTTAATTCTTCTACTCAAAACCTTACAAAATCCCCAAAAACAGTTACCCAAAAAAACCTTAATTCAATAATAGTGCTACCAACCTTTGCTGCTCACTGGTTTCAGTGGTGATGCAGGTAAGGACTCTGCAGAATTACAGGCTCTTTTCACAGAGTTAGTTAACCTTGCCTTTGGCTGTTATAGTTGATAACAAATGAGACAAAGTAAAATATTTGGTAAAGCAACGGTATTTTGACAGGAATATAAATTTCTACAGAACACAATATAATTTCCTTCCCTTAATTCTTACTCATTTGAAGCACAGTTCTATTTTAACTAAACACTTCAATTTTCTATCACTTAAGACTTTCTAAAACTGTGAATTTCAAACAACAGGTAGAACAGTGTGTACAGTAAATACCAATTTGCAGCTTTGAACAGACATCCTGCTAGTCCACAGGCAAGCTATTTACTCTTTTCATTAGAATGAATTAATTTAAACAATTTAATTCACCTTAATTAAGTCAGGCTGAGGTTTTGCAAGAATCACTTTGAGGTTATACAGTATTCTAACATCAGACTGAAGTAAACAAACACCATTATAAAGGATGTCTGTTCTCAACACCGCCATTAATAAAATATCCTAGTTTTACAAAAAACTACTAGAATCAAAATATTAAAACTAAATATACAAACTAGATTATTGGCATCATTCTCTCAGACAGCACATTAACAAGTCCTTCAACTTGCTTCTACTCTTCAACAAAGTTACAGATGCACAAACTTATAGTACAGATAACTTTATCAGGAGTTGACAAGCTGCTTTTATACAAGAATCATCTTTCAATTTCACTATCCATCGGAAGAACTGTGTCCATATATCTGGCAAAGTGACAGAAACCAACCCCAGTGGAGTCCGAGACAGCCATACCCACTACCAGTTATGAGGCAGCATGCTTCAACCTGAGACCATGAGAAATTTAACTATCCTGTACAAAAAGCTGAAAAAGCTTATATTAGCAAAAACCCAAGAAAATAATCTGTTAAATAAATCTAGTTATAGAATATTTACTATTAGAGCACAACAAACTAAGAAAAAAACATTACCAGCAACTATTACAGAAGGTTAAATTACAGCCTATATACTAATACAAGTGATATATGGAGCTTATTCATTCAACACTCATACAGAACTAAATCCTACAGAGCTAAACTTATACCCAAGTGAAACTGTACCCAATGCTATGTTGCGACACTGCCATAACTAACTTACCCTTTGGCTCTGTACTGAAGTCCTCTTCTCATTTTTGACGATAGGAGTTGAGCAACAGGTTGCACTTGGAGAGCTTATTTCAAGATCACTGCTACAACCTATAAAGAAAAAAACTATAAATAAGAGATTCTTGGAATTGTCCAGGTTTCATTTATTTTAACAAGTTGCTATGGCTCATCAAGGTCACGTAAATCCAAACAAGAAAGAAACCACCTACTGGGGAGAAAGATTACCTTCATAAGACAGCTAAGACACAGTTTTAAGCATCTGGGATTGGGGTGCTTTTAAAGACCGTGAAAAAGACTTTACTTTTATCCATTTTATCTCTGTTTTTTATTTCTATTTATTTACCACTAAATATAATACAAGGAAGAAATTATTTTTTTCCTTTAACCAGCAAATTAAGCAAAACACCAAATAAAAGCTTACTTTCGAAACAATCCTGTATGACTGTCAGTACGTTTTGACCTGGCTGTACATCAATCTTATTTCTAGAAAAAAAGGGGAAAAAAAAATTTAAATCAAAAATACTAAGTGTTCCTATCCCAGCAATATAAAAGTAGTAAAGTTCTTAATATTTTAAATTATTTCCACTAGTCCCCACTTCAATATATTTTACCTACCATTTCCATACAGAGATATCTGCAAAAAAACTTGTCTAAATAAGGATTCCAGGAGAAAAAGCCCCACTATCACAGAATATGATGAGATTGAAAAAATCTTTTTACATAAAAGAAAACATACAACCACTACAACAGTTCTCAGGTAAAACAGCTTTGGGATGAATAGAAATTCTCGCTTGAAATAAATAAATTTTTAAAAAATCAACCCTCAAGTAATGTTGCCTGCACAATGACCCAGTCTCAGCAGGCCCAGAAATGAAATGTATAGGCTGCACACCTATCCCTTCATACAAGTATTCAACCCTCTGCTTCTCTTTCTACCACTTATCCACAGTTATTTTGTGCTTCTACAAAAGTTTTAGCAGCAAGAATTGGCTTGAGGTATCAAATTTGTAAGCAAGCGAATGGCTCAGCTGCTTGGATTACTACTTCAAACCTCCCCAGGACAAATGAAAATGGCAGAAGTGATCCACTAGCCAGACCACGTTGATCAAAACCAAGATAACAAGGGAAAAGCCATGGAGTATTTCCCCATAATGATTATTATATGCCTTTAAAAACAGGTATTTCGGTAGATTTGGTAAGCTCATGAAATGCATGTCTAAAAATGGATTCCAGTAACAAAAAGCTCACAGACTACTGACATGCCTTTAAAGAAAGCTACAGCACTGCCAATACTCAAACTCACCTCTAACATTTACCAGCAAGGGCCAAATAAGCTAGAACTCTGTATGGGCTTCATTTCTCTACCTCTCGAAAGGTGAAATATTTGCACAGACTACTGCTTCTGTGCTCAGGTAGCCTAGTTAGGGGTAGCTTAGGTATAGCTACACCACAGTTCTGCTGCCTCAGCAGAGGAATTAAAAGGAAATCCTTGGTGCTTTGTCACAGCCCCCCACCCCCTGCACAATTTGCTCCCCCCACTGCTAAGAAATACAATAAGTTTGTGAAACATCATATGATCAGTTTAATAAGATACACCCAATAGCTCTGACATTAAGCTCTTGGACAAAAATCAACATAAGTTCTCCAAACAATTGTATTTGAGAATAAAATTTTAAATGTAAATTACCCTCCTCCATGGCAGAATCTTGCTCTGTACTCTTTTTTAAAATGATTCTGTGAAGAAATAAGAATCAATTTTTACTAAGCACTCGTAACATTCGACAGAAAAACAAATAAGTGACCAACCTCCTGTTTCTCATGTAAGCAAGTCTCGAGGATTCTCGATCCATCGGAAACTAGTGGGAGTTACTGCAGCCCTGTTTTTCTTAGAATGCCAAGTAGCTACAACCCCTGTGACAACTGCCAGAAATTCAGCTTTCCTCAAGAATCGTCAAGCATCTGTTGCATTTAAAGTCAGAGAGACTTGTAAGAAACTTACATGACAGTAATCAGAGAACCTAAGGATTTACTTAACATTTCTGTGATGACTATAGATACAATCTTTGAAGTAAGAAGAATGAATGAACTACCACAAAGCAAGCTAGGACATAACCTTATGACACATCTGCTGCTCTGAGAACTGCTCACATGGAGATTCTTACCCTGTGTTTATCACAGGCGAGACCTCATTGACAGGCAGTGAGAGGACATCAGCTGTTCCATAGTAAAACTCTCAGTTAAGTCCCAGCACTTCTTCATATACTTGAACCCCGCGTATAATCAAAGTCATTCATATAGCAGACATGACTCCAGTCATCTATTAGCACAACTACAGTAGTAATAACTCAAATGACAGTATATTATCAGTGTTACTTTCCAGGCCAACAAATGAAATACAGCCTACTGAGCTGGGAACAAAGACTGTAGAGGATAAAAACAGGAAGGACAAGTCAAGAAAAAATGAAGAGCTAAGCAGAGTGCAGTTTTTCACCAATGTGACAAGAAAATGTCTCAAAAAAATTCTACCTGTTTAGCTGAAAAACAATTACGACCTCTTCCTCACTTGTGTAAACCGGAAAGTGTATGTGCAGTATGGAGATTATCTAGTCCTAATACAAAAGAATTCAGCACATTTTTCCTAAGTTTGCCATACTGACATTACTTTGTACTTCTTTGTGATTCCTCTTTGAATATTACTTCTGGCAATTAAAATAACCAAAACCACTTAAGGATTTATTGCACTGCAAATTTTCAACATCAACTTAAAATGGCAGGAAGAAGCTCTAGGTCGCATGGGAAAACGACTGACCAAAAGTCATCACTTCAGAAACAGTGCAGAGCCATACTCCACAGCAACTCAGTCTCTCAGGCTTAAACTTCTTCCACTTGCAGCAGCGTGCAGTACAATCAACTGACAAGCAACCTTTTGTATAAGAAAATTAAAAATTCCTGCAACGGATCTAGAAGAGCTTATAACAGTTTATCGTTATGTTCATACCCCACTACAGATAATGAGCGTTTAAAACTTAAACTCCCTGTGTACTGCTGACAGACAACGGTAGGAAGAAGAATAGTATGTCTCTATGTATTGGGTCTGGCTGAGATGGAGTTTATTCTCCCCATAGCAGCCCTCGCTCATAGCGCTGTGCTCTGCATCAGTAGCTAGAAAGGCGTTAATAACACACCAGTGTTTTGGCTACTGCTGAGCAGTGCTGGCACAGCATCAAGGCTGTCTCTCCAGTGTTTAGTCCCCCCTCAATGGTAGGCTGGGGCTGGGCAAGATCTTGGGAGGGGACATAACCAGGACAGCTGACCTAAACTAACCAAATAGATATTCCATACCATATGACATCAGCTCAGATATAAAAGCTAAGTAAAAGGAGACGGAAGGGGGGCATTTTTGTCTTTAGGAGCAACCACTACGCATAGTGAAGCCCTGCTTCCCAGGAAGTGGCTAGACATCGCCTGCTGATGGGAAGTAGAGAATAACATCATTTGTTTTTCTTTGCTTTTGTGCGCGACCTTTGCTTTCACTTTATTAAACTGTCCTTACCTTGACCCACGAGCCTTTTGTTGTATTTTCTCCCCCCTGTCCAGCTGAGGAGGGGGAGTGATAGAGAGGCTTTGGTGGGCACCCAGCCTCCAGCCAGGGTCAACCCACCACACTCTAGCATGTCTAGACAAGAGTCGCTGGTTCTTTACACGCTAACCGGTGAAAGGAAGGTCTCCAGAGACGAGCGACAGGCGCAGCTGCAGGCAGCCTAAGGGAAACGGGGGTCCCAACAGACAAGCCCTCAGAACAGAAGCGCTTGTGCCAGCAACCGGCGCCAAGAGGGAGGAGGGCAGAGCACTAACCCCCGCCCCGCTCTTCTCGGGCGGAAGCGGGTAACGCGCAGAGCCCCACCGCGCCCTCAGGCTCGAAAGGACGGGCCCGCCCCTCAGGAGCGCAGTGAGGAGAAGGCCGCGCCGCCACTGTTACGGAAGGGAACGGCCACTGCCCCCCACAGCCGCCCCCCCTTCCCCCCTCGCCGCCGCTTCGCGCTCTCTCACCAAAGCCTCCGCCATCCCAGGCCGCCGCGACGAGGCCGAAAACACCGCGGCCGCGGGACCCGGCCGAGCCATCGCCCCGGCGAACCTCCCGCCGCTTTCAAACTTCGGGCGCCTTCCCGCTGCGCACCGGCAGCGCACCGGCCACGCCCCCTTTCCCCCCCGCCATTGGTCGGCGGCCGCCGCGCGCCAGCGAGGGAGGTTGCTTCGGTTCGCGCGAACGCGGCGGGCCGTTGTCGCGCCTGCGCAAGAGGCAGCGGCTCTTCCACCCCCCCTCCCCCCCCCGCGCTTCACCCCTCAGAGCACCTTTCCTTCCCTGAGGAGAGGCGGAGGGCGGTAGTGCTGTTCTTTTTTTGCCTCGTGAGAAACGCCAGTTCAAATCCTCGCTTTTCTAAACGCTACACCTACAGTCACCACAGCGGGTCGCAGTTTTTTCTTTAAAACATTAGAATCATAGAATCATTTAGGCTGGAAAAGACCTTTAAGATCAACGAGTCTAACTGTAAAGCTAACACTGCCAAGTCCACCACTAAATCATGGCCTTAAGTGCCACATCTACATGTCTTTTAAATACCTCCAGGGATGGTGACTCAACCACTTCCCTGGGCAGCCTGTTCCAATGCCTGACAACCCCTTCAGTGAAGAAATTTTCCCCAATATCCAGTCTAAACCTCCCCTGGCACAACTTGAGGCCGTTTCCTCTCCTCCTATCACTTGTAACTTGGGAGAAAAGACGGACACCCGCCTCGCTACAACCTCCTTTCAGGTAGTTGTAGAGAGCGATAAGGTCTCCCCTCAGCCTCCTTTTCTGCAGGCTAAACAACCTGGAGAAGAATTAGTGAAGAACTCAACAATGAGCAAAAACAACTGCTTGAGAACATAACATATCCACAATATCTTACAGTATCTGCAAAAGACAGCCCAAAAATATTATTTTAAATGATGCTTTTTATCACACACTGGCAAACAGTGGACTAAGTGCTGGCTTGTCGTCATCAGCCTTGCAAAGCAAAGGTGCAGGTACCCATGGTCATTAGCTTTTCTGCAATGTTCAACAGCAAAGACAAATTCTGCCATTTAAGCACAATCAATAGAGAACATGTACAAAAATCTGCAAATTAGCCAAAATCTGAGAACATGTACCTGTCCCCAGCCATTTTTAGAGATGACATGGAGTATTTACTTTCACATGCAGGACCGAACTCTTCTTCTGCTAGAGTTGGTTGGCAGCTATCTGATCTATCATAGATCACCTTATCAGCTAATTATGTACTCGTCTTACACCGACACACAGCTGAGAAACAGAAAAGGCCATAAAGATGTTCAACAAAAAACAAGCCTTTTTTTTTTTAAAATGATGTTTGCTTTGCATTTGGTAGCCACCACCATTGAAACACCAAGTCTTTTCATCCCTATTCTTTCTGACCGCTAAGGGGAAGGCCAGCAACTAAGTTAAACATCATGGTTCTGTGAAATTGATGGGAGTTTCACCCCTCATTTCATCAGGACCAACACTTCATTCCTGAACTACCACTTCCCTTCACAATTTCTTTAAAGGCTTTGCTATATTAGCTCTTTCACAATGAAAGTCATCCTCCTACATAGAATCATAGAATCGTTTAGGTTGGAAAAGATCTTCAAGATCATTGAGTCCAACCATCATCCATGCCCACTAAACCATGTTCTGCAAGATCACTGAGTCCAACCATAATCCATGCCCACTAAACCATGTTCTGGAGTACCCCGTCTACTTGCTTTTTGAATACCTCCAGGGATGGTGACTCAACCACTTCCCTGGGCAGCCTGTTCCAATGCCTGACAACACTTTCAGTAAAGAAATTTTTCCTAATATCCAATTTAAACCTCCCCTGCCACAACTTCAGGTCATTTCCTCTCATCCTATCTCCAGCCACCTGACAGAAGAGACCAGCACCCACCTCACTACAACCTCCTTTCAGGTAGTTGTAGAGAGCAATAAGGTCTCCCCTCAGCCTTCTTTTCTCCAGGCTAAACCACCCCAGTTCCCTCAGCCGCTCCTCATAGGACTTGTGCTCCAGGTCCTTCATCATCTTCGTTGCCCTTCTCTGGACACGTTCCAGCACCTCAATGTCTTTCCTGTAGTGAGGGGCCCAAAACTGAACACGGTACTCGAGGTGCGGCCTCACCAGTGCCCAGTACAGGGGAACGATCACCTCCCTGCTCCTGCTGGCCACACTATTTCTGATAGAGGCCAGGATGCCGTTGGCCTTCTTGGCCACCTGGGCACACTGCTGGCTCATATTCAGCTGGCTGTCAGCTAGCACCCCCAGGTCTTTCTCTGCTGGGCAGCTTTCCAGCCACTCTTCCCCAAGCCTGTAGCGCTGCATCGGATTGTTTTGACTGAAGTGCAGGACCCAGTACTGAGCCTTGTTGAACCTCATACAATTGGCCTCAGCCCATCGATCCAGCCTGTCCAGATCCCTCTGTAGAGCCTTCCTACCCTCAAGCAGATCAACATTCCCACCCAACTTGGTGTCATCTGCAAACTTACTGAGGGTGCACTCAATCCCCTCGTCCGGATCATTAATAAAGATATCAAACAGAACTGGCTTCAATACTGAGCCCTGGGGAACACCACTTGTGACCCACTGCCAGCTGGATTTGACTCCATTCACCACAACCCTCTGGGCTCATCCAGCCAGCCAGTTTTTTACCCAGCGAAGAGCACACTTGTCTAAGCCTTGAGCCACCAGCTTCTCAAGGAGTATGCCATGAGAGATGGTGTCAAAGGCCTCACTGAAGTCCAGGTAGACAATATCCACAGCCTTTCCCTCATCCACTAGGCAGGTCACCTGGTCATAGGAGGAGATCAGGTTGGTCAACCAGGACCTGCCTTTCATGAACCCATGCTGGCTGGGCCTGATCCCCTGGTTGTCCTGCACATGCCATGTGAGCGCACTCAAGACGAACTGCTCCATAATCTTCCCGGGTACCAAGGTCAGACTGACAGGCCTGTAGTTCCCCGGATCCTCCCTCCAACCCTTCTTGTAAATGGATGTCACATCGGCAAGCCTCCAGTCATCTGGGACCTCCCCTGTTGACCAGGATTGCTGATAAATGATGAAGAGTGGCTTGGCAAACTCCTCCACCAGCTCCCTCAGTACTCTTAGATGGATCCCCTCTGGTCCTATAGACTTGTGAATGTCCAGGCAGCATAGCAGGTCATTAACTATTTCCTCCTGAATTATGGGGGGTATATTCTGCTCTCCATCCCTGTCTTCCAGCTCAGGGGGCTGAGTACCCTGAGGATAACTGGTCTCACTATTAAAGACTAAGGCAAAGAAGGCATTAAGTATCTCAGCCTTTTCCTCATCTTTGGTAGCAATGTTCCCCTCTGCATCCAGTAAAGGATGCACATTACGAAGCTGATTTATCCTTGCCAGTTATAAACAATCATAGCAGATTTATTTTCAATATTCCTTTTAGAGTCCTGTAATGCCCCTAGCCATTTGCTAAAGAAAGTTCAACTCTGATAGTCTCAACGTTAATCCACATTCCCAATGAAAAATTTAAATATTATTTCAGAGGCAGCTAAAAGCAATCTCCTCCCTGGCAGCAGCCCATGAAAAGTCCAGTGCTGTATGCCATAAAAAGCAGGCTTTTCCACCAAGACCTCCAGGTGACACCCATCACAGTAATGATGCACTTTTGTACCAGCATGCTCATCTTTTGAATGTCTCCCCTTGAGCAAACCCGAGGAGAGCACTGTAAAGGAAAAGATCCTTTTAATCCATTCAGTCTGGTTCACCCCATGATCATACACCACACAAAGAGTCATTGGTGTGTGCTGACCTAAAAGCAAGAACACAGACTTCCTCTTTGAGGTGCTGCTTTTTCCCCCCTCTCACCAGGGTGAGTTTCCTGGCTGAGGCTGATACAGAGCAGACTGAGAACAACGGGAGTGGCGGGGGGAGAGCACAGCAACCCAAAGGATGCTGAGAGGCATTAGAGAACACCCTGAGGAAATTCCTCAGCCAGCCCCCCGGCGGATCTTCCAGGTGAGGCAGAGCATCACCGGTCTGCCTTTGTACTTCCAAGGTTACCTGTCTGTCCGGCACTCAAAATGCCAGGTAAGGAAGTGGATGTGTTGAAATATTTCTTCAAAAATGTATTGCTGGGAGCTACAGGTTTATGGGGGGAGATGTTTCTCAGCACTGGCTGACACAAATGGTTGCACTGAAATAATGATATCTAGTTATTTCTGTTCATATTACTTGGACAGGGAGAAGTAAAATAAATTATGTAAGGTAACCATCAATATCTCCAGAATCCCATTATAATTTACTATTACCTACTGAAATGTGGATTGAGTTTGACTGATTTCATAGCTACCACCATGGTGAAAAGCTAATGCAATATTTTTAATACCAAGAGCAAAGTTTGACACAGTTATATTGCTGTGACGCATCCTCCATTTACTGGAGAACAGTATCCATCCCGAAGTCTTCAGTAACATGCCACCTGAGGTATATGTGAGATTCTCTACATCTTTTTTATTCTTATTAGTAAGGGCTGATGATTTAAGATACGTGGACTAACGGAAAATAAGAGTGGAGTTTTTTGACCTAAGATAACTATTTAAGACGCAAATCTGTAACCGCCTACATGCTTGTGTATGTTACAATAGCATGTATGTTCAGAGCACGTCCCTAGTCAAGCTGATTGCCCTTTCTTAGCACTTGATAATGACAGTCCCTGTATTGAGGGTTACAAAGTAATTTTTACCCTACCTACGCTCACATCTCTGTAGATGGAGAAGCACAGACGGAGTAGAGAAAATGAGAGTCACGCAGTGCTAAAAGACCAAAATAGCATAGTAGTTCACAAACACAGAATCAACCAGGTACCACAGAAAACAGGAACTCCATGAAACAAAAAAGTAGACTAATAATTTTACTATTAATTCTTCTGCAGCACTAGAAATTATTAATGCATTACTTCATTGTATCTAGCAGGAGGACAGCTGCAAGCTTAATAAA